AGGGCATCTGCGTCTTACCCACGTCGGAAACATTTAATCCTACAACTCGGGACGAATCGGCACCATTCTGTAGTGCTGTTGGTTGTTGAAAGCTCATGCGTGATAAATGGCTCATTTCCAGGCTAGCTCCACGGTTGACATACAGGACTAGTCATCCTCCGATTCCTGCAGGTATTGGCCAGCAGACCCCCGCAGAGCTTCTCGGCGTCAGACTGCTTTTTCCTCCATTTGATCTAATCAAGACAACCGATATTTCCTAGAGAAGCTAACCCTGATTGAAATATTGAATAGGTTACTCCTTGCTTGCCTGTTGCAATCGCAGGAGACCTGGCTTGAAATCGGGGACGTGGCACCATGAGACAATGCCCTGAGGTCAGTATTGACGTTGAAATGACACCAGAGCCTGGGGGATGATGGTGGATACAGGGTGGGCGCAGGTCAGCCGTGATTGGAGAGGAGGCGGTTGTGTCCTTGACGTTCTCCAGAGTGCTCTTGGGGAAATTAGGTTTCGTGTCGGGAGAAGGCTCCTGTTCCTCTAGTCGGCTCCAGAGTCCAGCTGCTCTTTAATTTTCCTCTCCCAGGCTGGGTGATTTAAGTGATAAATCAGCCCGAAAGGGAGCTGGGAAGGTGTGCTGTTGGAGTGGTGCATCTGCAGTGCAACAACTGAAATGAATTCCTCTGCTCAGGATTTTGTCTGTTTTCCGAAAGAACATCTGTAGACCAGGCTTCTGTGGTGATTTATGGTCCAATAAACAGGTGGCGTGAGAGGTCACAATGAATTCCCCGTTTTCAAAGCACAGTGAATTTTGGCGGGTGTGCTTTTATCGTACAGTAATAAGAATGAGACTTTTTATAGTTCGTTGAATGATGTAAATTTTGACGTAGGCTTTGTTTTTGCCTTCCGTTCAGTGGTTCAGTGGCAAACGGCTCTTAACCTTGGAATCATGGGAAGGGAGACTGCAGGGTAGCCTGGCAGTGTGTGTGTTTATCTCCCACTTTTGAGCGCTGTCTCATGGAGAGTTGCACAGAGGGCGTGCATTTAGGTTAAAGGTCACCCTCTGTGTACAGTTCTGTATGTGAGCTGACATGGTCTCCCTGTATGGCAAGATCCTGAGACAGACCTTTTATTTTGTGCTTTTTTTGCACCGTTTGCTGCAGGTTTTTGGAATGGCCTATGGTCAGCTCTGTTCTAGAACTACTTCTGGCTTCAAGAACCTGTAAAAGACCCTACTGTGCCCTTTTCTTTTTGACAGCAGAGGTGAAATAAGAGCTGGTCTAGGAATGATCACTCCACCCATTTGTGGTTCTGCTCCCTCTAGCGACAGGCAGGATTGCTTCCGTCTTGTGGGCTCCCTCCTGGTTTTAAAAAGACGCCACCCCACGGTAGAAAACGTCCGTCTCCATTTCCTTTAAGTCCCCCTCAGTCCGCCTCTCCCTCACTGCGAGGAGGTTGGCACAGCCTCTGATGAGAGGTCGGTTTGACCTGCGCCAGCTATTCCTGCTCGTGATTGCAAACACTAACATAACATAATTACTTTAACCCCTCATTACAGCCTTAATGGAGGGTTGCTATAATTGGTTTGGTTCAGAACAGAATGCCGGATTGTGCTTGGGAGTCTTGTGCTCATCGGCAGGGATGCAGGGAGAGGTTTTTGGCCTCCAGGGAAATCTGTTGACTCTAACGAAACGACACCAGAAAGGCCGTCCATCAGCCGCTCTGTGTTTCGGCATCTCTCAGAGCGCTGGCAATGCAGGAGCACAGGTATCCATCTTCTGTTTTCTCTAATGGAATTGGAGTGCAGACAGGAGTGTGCTTGGCAAGTTAGTGTGTGTTCGCTCAATTTCTGGAAACCGGGGTTTAACCAGGTGTCTCTGTGCTGCGTTTTTACATCTTCTTGATTTCTAGGCCTCGTTCCTAACGCCACCATTGCTCCCTGCCAGTTCTCTTCCTGTCTCGGCTCCTGCAGGGGGCTGAGGGAGGTGTGTGCAAGCTCTGCTTGCTCCTGTGCTGGATTCCCTGGGGGCTGGACAAGCTGCCCTCATTTTTCTTCTCTTCGTCCTGTGCATGCAAAGCGTCCGCGTTCAGTGATGCTTTCAGTGAAGCTCAGTCACAGAAGCTAGTGACCAGACAGGCCCTGTTGTTTACTACGAGCAGAAAGTATGCCAGACATTCCTGCACGCTGCTGGCTTTTCCGGGATTAGCCACTCAGATGCAGGCTCCCGGGAATAGAGTGGCTGGCCGTGTGTATCTGTGAGCTCCTGCACACGAGGCCTGGCTGAGCTTGTGGTCAATAATTATAATAATAATTGCTTACACTTATATAGCTCTTTTCTGGACACTCCACTCAAAGCTATTTAGAGATAATGGGGATCCCCTGCACCACCACCAGAGTGTAGCTCCGTCTGGATGATACGATGCCAGCCAGAGTGTGCCGGTACTCTCCTCACACACCAGCTCTCGGTGGGGAGGAGAGCAGAGTGATGAAGCCAGTTCAGAGATGGGGATTATTAGGAGGCCCTGATGGGTAAAGACTGAGGGAAAATTTGGCCAGCATGCCAAATTCCCAAATGAGGGAAGAACAAGAGAATCCCAGCAGCTTGCTTTTTGATGCCATGCTGCTGTGGTGTTTCTTTAACCAACCGCTGCACTCGATGTACTGTTAACAAATGTAAGTAAAATACACAAATTATACACCTCTGGAGGCAGAAGACTGTTAAGACAAATATTGTGCAAGACTGATCTTGGTAGCGTGCTATCTGTGGCCCCTTGCTCATAAATTTCAATAAATGAGAGGAAGAATTGCACCTGCCTCTCTTTACAAAAAAAGTTGTGTACAAATGCGAAGTCTGTCATCTTGTCTTATGCTGAGCTGGCAATTCAGCTGCATGACTTCCAGCGAGCTTTTGTGTGGTTAGGATAATTCCATTTGAAACACCCCCTTTTCTAAATAAGCTCACACCGGCTGACTGAATTCAGACACGCTGGGCACTCTTATCTTCCATTTGTCAGTTGTCCTGAAAGTCTGCATCTCAGCTGTCCTAGTCATTCTCAGGGCAGTAGTTGCACCTCCCAGTCCCTGTTTTCATGCCCTGGCAGTCCGGCTCACTCCAGGTCAGCTAGTTCAAGTTGCTCCGAGGAAGAGAAAGTGGGGGGAAGGGTGCATTCCTGATACTTGACTTCCTGTTCTGTCTCTTCCACGACCAGCCAGTGTTATCGCAGGCACAGCTGCTGAAGGTCTATACAACACTGTATGAAAACCTGCTCAATTATAGCTTGTGTGGCACTATAGGTGTGACCAAGATGTTGTACACCCTCAAGTTCAGTAAGCTTTTTTAGCAGTCATTTCTTCACATTTGGAATATGTATAAAAGGAATCTACAGTAAATCAATGTGCTCAGTCTTGTTGTTTATTGGGATACAGGACATCTTATAAAGTGTCAGTCTAGGGTTTGTCAATAGATGTACGTTCAGGACGGCTGTACTTACATGCTACATTGTGAAAACGGTAACACTAGAGAAGTTAGTAATGAATTCAATGTTAATCTGTGCATTTCCTATAGCTGTAACAGTACTAGGCTTTGAACTGCTGGGGTACGTTCCTTACTTTTAAAGTAGATTTAATTTCTCTGTAGACTGCAGAAAAAAAGCTGAATTTAGGAGAATTGGAAACACTGAAAAGCCATCTCATGCAGTTGTCTTATAAATCTCATCAGCTGATGCAATGATCTTTCAGGAAATATAAAATAAAATAAGGGAACGGTAGTAGGACTGAGGGATGAGGGTGTGTAGGTTTCTTACAGGTTAAACAGGACTGTTACAACATGAGTAGTGCACCCCAGGGAACAGGCTGCAACATTAATGGGCGGGGCCGAAGGGGGCAGTGTCCTCTAGGGCTGCTCTTGACCAATCACAGGCCTCCTTTCTCAGCCTTCTCAGTCAAGGGGTGTAGCTGAGGCAGTAAAGGAGGCTGCCTTGGATTGTCAGCAGTGCCGCAGCTGCAATCTTAAACTGACTCGCAGATCGTCCGATGTCTGTTTGCAAGACAAACAGGTCTGTGAACCTCCCTGCTTCTATGAGTTAGCCACAGGTGCCACTCAGCCCAAAGGCAATTTTTTTCAGTGTCAAATCACTTTATTGGCCATATCCAATTTCTTGTATTAGGAATTTGTCTTTTCGCATGCCCCAGCTTGCTCTCCATGAGACACGCTGACACACAGATAGGGAGAGAAGCTTGGGGCCCAGAGTGCAGGGTCAGCCATTTATACAGCACCCCTGGAGCAGTTGGGGTTCAGGGCCTTGCTCAGGGGCCCAATAGAGTAGGATTCCTTTGCCGGCCGCGGGATTTGAACCGGCAACCTTCTGGTCACAGGCGCAGATCCTGAACCACAGAGCCGCCGCACCTCAACAGGTCAGGCCTGAGTATAGTGCTATGCTTGGCTCCTGTGTTGGTATGTCAGGAGCTTCACAAGGACAGGTTTTTCCATAAAGTGAGTAGAACAATGCTCTTTGTGTTACTATTAGTATTGACACAGACCAGTAGCCAAACCAATGAGCCGTATTTGTCCCCGATGTTACAAATTTTTAATAAGAGCATTACCCGAGAATATGTAGTTACTTGTGTTTGTAGTAACCTTGATTTGAACTCTGTCTTCTCTCAGCCATTTTATTAAAATGTACTCCATCCCCCTTCCTGATCACGCCATCTTAAGCTTCACTGAGGAAATGTGTGCCAGCAGGGAGTTCAGCAGACGGGAGACTGATCACTTACTTTTCTCAATCCCTCCTTGCACAATACACATAACGGAGATGTGCATAACCAGGACTATGTGGATCGGGAATGATTGTGTGATTGTGACTGTCTATATGTGTGCAAGGAGTGGGGTCACTGTCAACTTGAAAAATAACTAACACCCACCTAAAAACCATTCCATCCTACAGCGGATTCGCTGTACAGGAACCACTGACCAAACTTTTGTTGTGCTCTCTTTCTGAATTCCAGGAGGGATTGCTGGAGGGATAGAGATCTGCATCACCTTTCCCACGGAGTATGTCAAGACACAGCTACAGCTGGATGAGAAGGCCAATCCCCCAAGATACAAGGGCATTGGTAGGCAATTGCATTTCAAGAACATAAGAAAGGTTACAAAGAAGAGGCCATTCGCCCAGCGCAACAAGTTTGGTAGTTAGTAGTTAATGGATCCAAGGAATTCATCCAGGTGTCTCTTGAAATTAAACCAGGGTGTCCGTTTCAGCAATGTGGGTGGGCAGCTTGTTCCATACTCCCACCACCCTTTGTGTAATGAAGTGCCTCCTGTTCCTGCTTTTAAATGCACTTCCATGCAGTTTCCACATGGGTCCTTCTGGTTCATGTGGAAACTGCATGGAGGCGCATGTAAAATGGAGAAGTAGGAAAAGACAGTCTGAGTTTTAGCTCTGGATGATTCACTTAAATAACACTGCGGTACCAGCCAGCCAGGCTCCGAGAGACACACACCATTACTGTTTAATTAAGCATTTAAAATTCGGGCTCCACACGCATTCCTGAGCAAACAAGCTGTATCAGGACCTCCCCCGAAACTCCTGCACGATCCGCAGTGAGAAAAAAAACCATTTCCTGAGACTGAAACAAACTGTAATCCCCATTTCCCTTCGGTGCTTTTCTTACAGGAGTGGGGGCTAGGAGGATTTGCTTTTAGGATTGAGATTGGGGATCATGTCTTTACACAAAAGGTGTGGGGGGGGGTTTGGTACAGGCTGCCTAGCCATGATGTCAAAACTGATTCTCTGAAATTGGTCAAAAAGTGGCTTTGGATGAGATCCTTGGATTAACAAGTTATTAGCTACCAGAGAAAAGAAAGCGAATCAGGCTTGAAAAGCTCCAGAAATGGGCTTATTTGTTCATTACAGATAATACCTAGCTGCCTAGGCCAGGATAACTAAGAGACAGCAAGTCTCTTGTCCCAGTAAGTGAAGTGCAAGTGCACTTTGAGAATCAGCCTTGCAGAGATAACATGTTTGTTTGCCTAAGAGTCAGCACTATAAGTACATCAGGGAACATGAACTCTGGACGGTTCTGGTTAATGTGTGCACTCAATGTGTGCAAGTCTGTGGGTTAATCATTTTTAGTGGAGTAAGTTTCCCCCTTTTTCAACAAGCAGGTTCTCTCTGGGGCAACTCTTACTTTGGCAGTTTGAGGTGTTCTCATTATTAGTGCCTTGCACATCTGATACTTTTGTCATTTCAAGACATTGCGAAAAAATCTGTCTGCACCCAAGGAAACTGGTTAACAGACCAGTGATGGAGTTCAAAGGGAGAGTAGATGTAAGAGGCATTTCTTGTCTAGGCTTTTTACACATATTTGTATTTCTGCAAATACCACATGTGGAATGTCTAAAACCAGAAAACTTTAAAATAAATTCCTAATAACCACAATTTCTGAGCTCAAGTGTATCTCGATAAAGGGAAATAATGGGCTGTAGTTATATCAATCGCTTTTTTCAGAAGAAACGGTGTGGTCTCCAGTACGGGCAGTATTATGAGTCATGTTCATAAATTAACCTGGCCTGTCTATGATTGGTCAGTGACGAGTGTCTTGTCCTTGCCCGCAGTGCGAGAATGTGGGGGGTTCACTAATTTACCAGCAGGCATCGCCGTGACGCCAAAAAAAGCAGAAAATGCTAGCTGGCTGACTGTAGAGAATAGTTAGTGTAACCGTGTACGTGTTGTAAGCTTTTAAACACACCCTCTCCTTTGCTGTTATAGCTCTTCGGTGGTGCTGATGGTCCTGTGCTCTGTTTTGCAGTGGACTGTGTGAAGCAGACTGTCCAGGGTCATGGGGTGAAAGGGCTCTATCGTGGGCTCAGCTCCCTGCTGTATGGCTCCATTCCCAAGGCAGCAGTCAGGTACCTGTCTGAGAATAAGCCGACACCGATTCACTCCACTTCACTGGAGGGGTCCCCTCAGCTGGCCAAAACACATTCCCCCTCACCCCCAGGTAGCCCACGGAAGGCAACTCGGGTGTAGCTCTACGACATCTGATGTTGCAGTGGTAGAGCACGTGACTGCCGATGCCATGTTTCTCCAAACGGGATTGCTGTGAGGCTGGCCGGCACGTGCCGCTGGTGTTTGCTGACCACTGTGCAACTGTACACTGTGTTCATGGACGACTTACTACAGCAGCTCCGTCAGCGCTGACGAAAGGCCGTTAGGTTGGGAGTGAAAAAGGAGCTGTGTTTTGCACTGGAGTCCAAGAGCTCTCAGCTGAGAGCCTGGCACTGGGGAGCAGCCTCTGTAACGCCATGACAGCCTGTGACTGAGGTGCAGATCTTATTTGCTCTTGTTTGAATGCAGTCACTATAGCTACTGAAGATCCTCCTTCAGTTGCCAGTTTAATCTATTTATAACAAGGCTTGTCTAATCCAGCACCTTTCCAGTTACCCACATTCCCATTTTGTGTCTGTTCTCCAATATCAAATCATGCCATTTCTAATCCTAAACACTTAAATGATTTTTTTTTTTCTGTGCTGCTGCGCTATGGATCATTAGTAAAGGTCTCCTCTAGGAGTAGTATAGAACTGATCTCCTGTGCAGCACTTAAACAATTACAGTTTGTTCCGCAACATGAATATTGCTCTTACATCTTATTTACATTTTGTCAAAACAAAAATATGAGCAATGTTTGTTTTTTTTTTTTCAAATATTAAGGGAAAGAAAATCAAAAAGCATACCATCATTAGAACAAATAAGAGTAATAATTAAATTTATACAATGTAGGGATAAAATAATAATACCAATACAGGGATCATCGTTTAACCATGCCTGAAAAACCTACATCTGAATTGAGCTCAACTGAAGGTTGATTGCCTGTGTTCTTGTGGATGTGCACTGACTTGGTGTTGAGGAGCTGAAAGCTGCTCGTTCCCCGAGTGCACAGTCATGCAGAGCAGGGCTGTCAGGCAGTCTGTGCTCGGAAATTGCTCAATGCCATCCTCCAGACAGGCCTGGC